AAGCCCTGAGCCCCATCCCCCAGCAATGGGGATCCTTTCCCTCATGGACACTCAAGGCTCCTCGTGGGCACAGTGAAATGTGGAGGTGTGTGATACCCAGTGCAGGACAATGGTAGGACTCCTCCTTGGCTCTATGTAGTCAGTGGGTGGGTGAAGTGGCAAGAAAGCGCTGGAGCTGTGGGGACCTGTTGTCCTCTTCAGGACCTCAGGGGAAGAGACAGCAGCCATAGTCAATCGCAGAAGGATTTCCGTTCTTTTGGGCTGTCCCAGCCCCCACAAAGGGGCCATCCCCACCACAGGCTCTCTTACACTGACCTATGCCAGTGACTATTTCTCTGCAGATTTTAACCACCACCCCTGCATCCCCGCCTCACTCTGACCCCATGATTCACAGAATTCACAGAATTGTTAGGGTTGGAAGGGACCTCTGGAGATCATCTAGTCCAACCCTCCTGCCAGAGCAGGGTCACCTACAGCACGTTACACAGGACAGCGTCCAGGCGGGTTTTGAATGTCTCCAGAGTGGGAGACTCCACCACCTCTCTGGGCAGCCTGTTCCAGTGCTCCACTACCCTCAAAGTAAAGAAGTTCCTTCTCATGTTAAGATGGAACTTCCTATGTTCAAGTTTATGCCCATTACCCCTCGTCCTATCACTGGGCGCCACTGAAAAAAGACTGCTCCCATCCCCCTGGCATCCTCCCATTAAGTATTTGTATGTATTAATAAGATCCCCCCTCAATCTTCTTTTCTCTAGACTAAAGAGACCCAAGTCCCTCAGCCTTTCCTCATAAGAAAGGTGCTCCAGTCCCCTAATCATCTTTGTTGCCCTTTGCTGGACCCTCTCCAGCAGTTCCCTGTCCTTCTTGAACTGGGGAGCCCAGAACTGGACACAGTACTCCAGATGCGGTCTCACCAGGGCAGAGTAGAGGGGGAGGATGACCTCCCTCGACCTGCTGGCCACACTCTTCTTGATGCCCCCCAGGATGCCATTCGCCTTCTTGGCCGCCAGGGCACATTGCTGGCTCATTCTTGGGCGGCTGCTTTCTGCTGGGCAGAAGTGGTGCCCCTTGGGCTGCTGTCGTGGCCCACCGTAGGTTTGGTGCTTCCTCCGGTAATCCGGAGCGATGCAGGTCCTGGGAGGGCCCAGCAGCCGTCCTGGTGTTTGCAGGAGAGGGATGGATGGCACTCGTGTGCGAGTCCTCGGGAGAAGGCAGCAGGGTGCTGCCCGCACCCAGGGGGCTGTGACTGTGTGCCAAGCGCCCCGGCTCTGCTGGCGTTCCCGCAGGATCTGCCCAGGTCTGTCCGACTCCATCTGGTTCCTCCCCGGTGGGACGTGTAAGCGGCAGTACGGGAGAGGAGAGGCTGCTGGCAGCGGGGTGGCTCCTCAAGCC